GCTTGAGCCACAGGCGCCGAGCCTATTAATAAATTCTTAATAGAGAACTACAAATTCAAAGATAGTGATAAGACTCTTCAGAATTTATCAACCACTTTAAATTCCCATCAGAAATGTATAAATAACTGTCTTCCCAAATCTGAAAGTTCTGAACTTGAACATTGTTTTGAACATTTAATCTTATGAACATCAATCATATTATGACACTTAAAGTTTATGTCCATTTTGATTTGCTTGTCTGCTTGCTAATAAGGAAGTATACTGATTTCCTAGCTATATAGTTCTTCACAACTTGTAATTTTACCTTGCTTGCTACAGTATAGATACTTTAGACATAACACTTTGTCTAATTCTTTAGAGGCTACACATGCATGCCAATGAAGAAAAGATTACTGGCACATCTAATAATGAACCTAATCCAGTTGTGTTCTGTTGGAGACACTGTTTATTATGTTATTTTTCAAAGCTAGTATCTGCATGGTGTTCTGGTTCATGAAGAAACCTGGATTAATTGCACAAGGTATTTTTTGCTGTCCAACGACTTTGTGTTAAGAGCATGGCAGGGGACAATTACTTAAAATTACCTCATAGAATATGATAGGGAATAAATGCAAAAGTGTTTATATTCTAAATTCATAATCATCTGTTCAAAAACAAACATTAATTTATGTTCAAAGTTACGGGTCTCTGTAAGATTACTGTGGCAGTTCTTGGAACATAAGACTTCTGGTTTGGGGAGTTTTTTGAAAATTGTTGTAAATTCATATAACATTTACCATTTTAGCTATTTGTAAGTGTACTGAGTTCAGCAGTGTTAACTATACTCTCACTGTTGTGCAATCTCCAGAACCTTTCATCTTATAAAACTGAAACTCTATACCAGGGGTCCTCAAACTTTTTAAACAGGGGGTCAGTTCACTGTCCCTTAGACCCTTGGAGGGCTGGACTGCGAGCCCCGGGACAAGTTGGCTGCTAAGCAGAACAGGCAGTGGCGGCAAAAACACCCAGCCGGCTGGATAAATGTCCTAGGCGGGCTGTATGTGGCCCATGGGCCATAGTTTGAGGACTCCTGCTCTATACCCATCAAACAACTCCCCATTTCTCTGTCCCCACCCCGTTCCCTGGCAACCACCATTCTATTTTCCATTTCCATGAGTTCTATTATTCTTGATATTTCATACAGTGAAATTATACAGTATTTGTCCTTTTGTAACTGGCTCATTTCACTTAGCATAATGTCCTCAAGGTTCATCCATGTTGTAGTATGTGTCAGGATTTCCTTCCTTTTTGAGAACTGACTATGCCATTGCATGTATATGCCACATTTTTGTTATCCATCTACCTATCAAGGGACATTTTACGTTGCTTCCACCTGTTGGGAATTGTGAATAATGCTACTGTTAACACACAATATATATAACCAGTTTTATTTTAAAGTAAACGGTGAGCATTGGCCAGAGGAGTCATGTAGCACTATTTCATTTAAGGAGGCTGGAGAATATAAGGAAACAGATGGAATATTTGGTCAAAACAGAATTTGTGTGTGGTACTGTCTCTGCCACAGATATAATCATATACATATTTCACACAAAAAATACGTAATACATGTTATTACATATAATTGTGTTCATAGTACATACATTAATTGCACTGGCTGAATGTAAAGAGTGGATTATACCAATAGTAAAGAGATGAATCAGGGAGACTGTTATAAAGCTAGTTAGTAAAGTAGGCCAAGAAAGAGACTTTTAGTCCAAATTGGTACATTAGGGGCTTAGAGAAGAAATTGAATCATCTAGTTATACTTTGGAGGGTGCTGACGGAAGGTGCTAAGATTTGAGTTTTTTCTCCACTAAAACTCATTTTGAAATTTGATCCCCAATGTGGTGGTATTGGGAGGTGGAGCCTAGTGGGAGGTGTATGGGTCATGGAAGCAGACCCTTTATGAACGGCTTGGTACTTTTGTCAAGGTATTTCTCTGGGAATGGAATCATTCCTGTGAGAGCAGGCTGTTCTTACATTAAGTGAATTTCCTCCTGCTCTTTGGCCCCTCTTCATACCTGTCCACTTATTTGACCTTCTCTACCATGTTAATAATGTTGCACAGAAGCCCTTATCAGATGGCAGGTCCAGGCCCTTGAATTTCCCAGCCTACAGAATGAGCAGCTGAACAAACCTTTTACAAATTATCCAGTCTCAGGTACTGCCATAGCAACATGAAATGGTTGTGAAAGGGAGATGAGGGAGAGAAAGAGAAGAATGAGCACAGCCCTTTGGGAAAATATTAAGAAGAAAAATTAAAATTGATGGGCAGTAGAGGTTCTTCCTAAGCTTGGAGATACTAACAATTTGTGTGCTGAGGAATAATTTACAATATAGAAATAAAGTAATAAAGCAACAGAAAGGTGGAATAAGTGCAGGAGCTAAATTCTTGTAATACGAGAGGGGATGAAGCCTAGAACTCATATGGGGCAGCTGGGCCACTCTTGGTTTGCCCAGGGCCTTCCTATTCTTAGCA